ACCATCTCAACCGGGGGTGGGGGGGCAGCCTCGTGCGCCGTCCTCGCCCCGATGGTACCGCCCGCCCCACCCCCGCGAGACCTTCACCTCTCCTGCTTCTGCGCTCCGCCGCACGCCGCTTCCGGCCCCTCCCGCCTCACTTCCGCTCCGGCCTGTGCTGGCCGCTCTAGCCCCTTTCTGTGCTCCGCAGCCACGCCCCATCCCCCAGGCCGAACGGCTCCATCCCAGAGCGCCGCCCGGCCAGGCCTGGCGAGTAGAGCTCGGCATCATCCATCGCTCCAGTCGCCTCTGCGTGTTCCTGCCCTTCTGCGGGAGGTGTCGCGTCAGGCGGGCTCCCGGCGCCCAGCACCCCCTACCCAGCGTCCAGCACCCAACACCTAGTGTCCAGCACCCTCTACCCCGCGTCTAGCACCCAACACCTAGTGTCCAGCACCCAACACCCAGTGCCCAGTACCCACTACCTAACATCCAGCACCCAGCCAGCCCTGGGGGGCCCCATAGGTGATGCTTTATGCAAATGAGACCTCGGTATGCAAAATACTTTGCATTGATTAGCTGGGAGCTAATAAGAGCCAGCACATGATCCTTCCCGGAGCTGCACTCCATGGCAGGGAGAACCAGGCTGGTGCCCAGCGGCGAAATGAGGGCCCTGCTTATTGCCACTACACCAGCGCTAGGAGCCTGGGAGCTGTCAGGAGCTGGCCAGGCTCACAGAGTCGCAGCAGGGGGTTTGGGCGCATTTAGCCCAGCCCTGCTCAGAGTACAGGGCTGCACCTGGATCCATGACAGCCCTTCCTCTTGCTGGGGTTAATAGCAGTTGTGCATCTGCCTGCGACGCCTGCTACATGTTACATCTGTGACACAATGGACAGGTGAATCGTGTCATAGGTTTAGACCAGCCACACATGTAAAGTGATCCTCACACCATAAAAATGACTCCAGATCCAAAAGAGCCAACCACCTAAGAGTCAGTGGTTGAAATGCTAACAGCTCCATGGCTGGTCTCTATCCAGCTTTCATTTGAACCTGTGTCAGGGCCCCAGCAATCAGCAGGGCAGGGTGAGCTGGGTCATAGGAGACAGGGAGTTGAATCACTTCCCCACTGGGTGCTTGTTCCCCCTACCATCCTTTGTGGGGTGGCCTATAAGCTCTTTGGCGTGGAGACTGTCTCTGTCAGTGTGCAGTGCCCTGCGCTGTGGGGCATCTCAAGTGGGAGCCTCTCCAAGCTTATGCAATGACAGAAAATGGTGAGCTCTTCTCAAGCCCTCAACCGTTGCATCCCCCAGCCTGGAAAGATGTGCCACAGTAATTGCTGCACCTGGCTCACCCGGGTGAGAAAAGTTTTGCTCCTCAGCCCAGACTGGAATCTCTTCTTCCTGGCTCAGGATTCTGAAGAACCCCTCCCCCCCGCCTCCCGGTTATCAGTGTGGCCCAGGATTGATCCTCCCACTCATGCTCCATTAGGGCATAGACATTTCGTAGTTTCATAGTTGGTAGGGTCGGAAGGGACCTAAGCAGGTCATCAAGTCCGACCCCCTGCCATGGCAGGAAAGAATGCTGGGGGCAA